CCGCTCACTCCAACCTCCGCCTCCTGGGTTCAAGGGATTCTCCTGCCTCAGTCTCCCAAGTAGCTGGGATTACAGGCATGCACCACAACGCCCAGCTATTTTTTTTTTTTTTTTTGTATTTTTAATAGAGATGGGGTTTCACCACGTTGGCCTGGCTGGTCTCCAACTCCTGACCTCAGGTGATCCTCTGCCTCGGCCTCTCAAAGTGCTGGGATTACAGGCGTGAGCCACCGCGCTCAGCCCACAATGACTTTTTAATGAACAAGTAACTCCATTAAGTTCAGATGTTCCTGAACTTAAATTAGCCCTCTTTATTAATATTTAATACGGAATATTTAGAAACGCCACTGCATGACAGGGAAGTAGAAAAAATATATTTTTCTAAATTGTACTAAAAAATAATATACTACAGAGACAGTTTTCAAATAAAATATGTGAATGAAATTTCCAGATTTTTCAAATTCTGAAACATACACGTTGTCTTTTTGTCTCATGAATACTCATAATTTTCAGTCATGAGCTAAAATACACACACACACATGCACACTCTCCTTATTTTCCAAAGCATGAAGGCTTAAAGTTAAGTAAACAGGTGTGTGTGCGATGCACACCTTTCCTCCCTGTTACCGCAGGCACAGAGGGAGGTGGTGGCCAGAGTCGATGGGGAGTGACAGGCTGTGGTGGTAATGAGGGCCACCAGCCATCATTTATGGATGAAAGCGTCCTTGGTTACATTTTGTAAAGTCCAACATATTTATTCTTTAAAAACCGGACAGCTTGTTAAAAAGATGATTTACACATTTTGACTTCCTTTCTCCAACACTGAAGCTTTGACAGGCAATTAAGAATTCTCAGTTTTTAGGGTCAAATTTTATAGTTACTGGAATCCCACAGCACAAGTGGAGCAGGAGGTTGGAAGAGTGGTCGTTGGTAGCAGTCGTAGCAGGGGTCTCGGTTCGGGGCTTTAATAATAACTGATAATGCTCTATGACTGGTTTCCGCTGAAGCAGATGATTTGGAAAAGGGTCCAATCTGTTGAGGTGTGTTTTGTGACAGGAAGATTCCCAGCGGTTGGGCAGGATTCAGAGGCCTTTCTGGATGTGGACCTGAAGACTACAGCGAAGGCGGGCAGTGTGGCCGGACGCATGAGAGCTGGGCTCTGGGGCTTTTCCCGGCAGGAGCCGCAGGGTTGGGGTTGAGGCTGGCACCGAGCCCACAGTCAGGAGCGCAGGAAGAGCGGCCCAAAGAGACTGGATGTCCTCCACGGGAGGTGCAGACCCGAGCACGTAACTTCAGTTCCGTAATGTCCTAATACATGAAGACGTGTGCTTTGAACTTTATTGGAATAAATTTATTTCTCTTAGCCAAAAACTGTGATTCAATTCACTTCCTAGAGCATAAAACTCTATTTTCAGTTTTCTCTTTGGAATTCAGAAATTCTCTAAGGGCATGAGGAAACCCTGGGAGGAGGGTAGACTTTTCAAAAGTGTCAACGCGGTCAGTTCCTGGCTTCCCCAAGGATGGTGAGTGTCGGAACTGACTTGGTTTCTTCTTGGGGAACCCCAGGGCACCAAGCACTGTGCCTTTGCTTGGTGTGGCTTTCTTACGGCAGCTTCCTACAATCTCACGCATGGCCATCAAAGAGCATGTTAGCTCCTGAGCAGATGCTCTGTGAATTTCAGCTCTGACAATGACCTTGACCACACGAACACCATCCTGAAAGGCCTGAGCGGCCACTGCAAGGTGGGTAGAGAAGCCAGGTTCCATCCGTGAGCCACGGAGAAAACTTGGAGGAAACTATGAAACTCGGAGGAAGCAAAGGCCCAGAAATGCCCTGGAAGAAGCGGCTGCTGATCTCGCATCCAGACTTGCCTGAAAGCAGATTGTGTAACTTACACTAGTTACCCGGCTTCTATAACAATAAACCAAACAGTGAACCAGTGATAAGCCAAGCTGTGACCTTCCTTTCCCTGTTTTGTTAACATGTTAGTATCTGCCATCAGCATTATTGTCAACAACTTTCACAGCTTCTGTTCATTTGATATGTAATTTTTATTGCTTTCTTTGACAAATTACAGACTAATAATGCTTATGTGGTACTCATGGGCTTACAAATAACTTTGTTTAGGTTATTCCATTTGTTTCTCTCAGTATTTCTATTTTATGGTAGAGTTGGCATTTGAAGCCCATTGTAAGGACAAGGAAAGCCCAGCTCAGAGTGAGATGTCCAGCCTGCCTCATGTAGCTACGGCATAAACGTGCCTGGGTGCAGACGCCTCCCTTTTCATTGCAGGTCACAGCCGTCTGCCCCTCGTGCGAGGCCATGAGCCTCTGGGGCCCTACGTGTGTTCAGTGCCTCAGGGGGCAAAGCTGATGATCTTTCTCAAGACCACAGCATCGATAAAGGGTCCTTCATGGAGCCTGGGCCCACCGTCTCTACCTCACATCTTATTCCCGCTACATGAATGACGGTGTAAACATCCGAAGGCAGAGTTAGGACTCGGGACTCAGATTCCTTCTCACCACTGACTTTACGGGGATGACCACAGTACTGACCCTGTTGAGAGCGCTCGGTGTTCTGTCCTCCATGCATTTGGTGCATACGTCACCAACCCTGAGAATCAGGAAAAATGCCACCTCCCCGAGAAGACACTGTTGTTAGCACATGTGAGCTGGAGCCAAGCGGTGACCACGAGTGTCCTTCACACGCTCCACCAGGCGTCCCTGATTCATGAGAGGGGGGCGCCCCTACCCCACGCTGCCCCGGGGTCCCTGCAGGCCCCACCCCAGTCCAGCTAGCTCCAGGCAAAGCTGCCCCTGGCCCACACTGGCACCACCTCCTGTTCCTCCTCAGGCCTTTGGAGAAAAACAGGCTCTCCTGAAAGAATAAAAGCGTAGAGCTCTGAGATGGGGATAATTGGAGGGTGGGACACAGAGAACTTTTGAAGATTCTTCTAAAGTCTGTTTTTGGTCTGAGGGTTGGTTGGCCAAGAGTATTGAATACGTGACTGTTTATGGAGGTGTTCACTGGTGAGTTTTGTGTGTGTGTGTGTGTGTGTGTGTGTGTGCTGTAGCTCAATGTAAAATGTGCCTAAAAATAGCAGTCTCTGCCCTCTTCATGTGGGGAGCCAGGGAACTTGGCTGTTGTCCTCAGTAATCTGCTTGACCCAGCTGTTTGTTTACCACTAGATGAAGGTCAGCCTTGCTTTGTGTATATCACACCGGTTAACGTGAACAAACGAGAAATGATGGCGATGAGCCCATTTTTAGTCAGCACTTATTTAATAAGAATTAATGGATACTTGGACAAAAGTATGGATATAAGTCTCTCAATATTTAATAAGCACCTAATTCATGTGGAATATTACACGATGTGCCTAAAATAGTCTCCCAGCATTTTAAAGTGTAAAGATTAATTTGTTATCGCAGACACCCAGGATCAAAGGCCCCATGGGAAGCGATGGACTCTGAGGGACGGGTGCTCACCAGGAAGACCAGGAAAGGAGATCAGAAAGGGCTGTGCGAAGGTGGAGGCGGAGCTGCCTGCCCTCCCCACGCAGGGGACCTCCTTTCTCCGGCTTCTTCCCCTCTCCAGCTCCACTCAGTCACCTCCACCTTCACCTCTGTCCTCCTGCAAAGTCAGGAGTATCTTGTTCATCGCCATCAGGCAGAATATCAGCTACAAGTAGATAAACCTTACATTCTGATTCAAGAAACACTAATTAGGATGAGAATGTCCCCTAGACAGGGATGTCTGCTTTTAAAAAGAATGATTTTTAAAATAGCAAACTCTGGTCTGATAGGTTTGGCTCAAAAATATGCAGAACTGTGTTATACCATCTCTGTTTCCTACCCTTTCTCCCACACACCCCTCCCTGGCTAAGAAAGCAGCAATGACACTCACATTTGAAAGATTATTAAAGCATAACTTAGTGAAGACTTGTTTTTTTAACAAAATATGTTTGTTTTGTTCTGTATTTTATCTTCAGTTAGTGGCTTGAGACCATGGAGGTATTATGGGTCATATAAATTAATATGCATTGTTTTCTTCTTTTTCTTTCTTTTTTTGAGATAGGGTCTCACTCTGTTGCCCATGCTGGGGTGCAGTGGCATGATCTCGGCTCACTGCAAGCTCTGCCTCCCGGGTTCAGGAGATTCTCCTGCCGCAGCCTCCCAAGTAGCTGGGACGACAGGTGTGTGCCACCATGCCCGGCTAATTTTTGTATTTTTGGTAAAGATGGGATTTTACCATCTTGGCCAGGCTGATCTCGAACTCCTGACCTCAAGGGATCCTCCCACCTCAGTCTTCCAAAGTCCTATGATTATAGTCGTGAGCCACTGCGCCCAGCCAATATGCACTATTTTCTTAAGAAAAAGTCTACAAAAGTGTACATGACATTTCTCTTTTGCAAATAGGTATATGTAAAGTATGTTTTTAAAAGATGTTGCATGACAGGGATGAACTACTGAATTTGAGACAGTTGGTTTGTTATCGTTAATACTTGGCCATGATTGGGTTCTCAGCAAGTGGAGTGTCATGGAGCAATGGAAGGGGACCCAGCTTCTCCCAAAGCTCCCCTGTCAATCAGAAGCGCACACGTGGTCCTAGAGAAGGGTGGATGCTGAGTGCGGAGGGTGCTTGGGCTGCTCCAGCCTCACCCCATCAGGAGCTTTAAGTGCTCCATCCAAAGGGTCTTTGAAAGAATAACGAGTAAGAATCTTGCAGACAATAACTCCAAAATTTCCGGAGCACTGTTCTTCCCCTGACAGTTGCTTTTCATGTTTCATCGAATTAGAAGTAGCTCCTGTTACCAGGGGAATTCGGGGTTTGGCCTTGGTCTCAGCGAGCCTGCTGACCGTACTGAGGTGCCTGAGGAAGGGGTGCAGTTGCTCCGTGTCCTGGGTCCAGGGTAGAGCCCTGCATCAGCCTTGAAGCTCACAGAGGCAGGCCTGCGCCCCTCGCTGCGGGGCCTCCTGGACAGCTCTCTCCCCTCCTCCAGGTGGAACGCGTTCGAGGTGCTCGCCCTGGACGGAGTCAGCTCTGGGGTCCTCCGGTTTTACACGGCCCAGGATGGCGCCGACTGGCTGCGGGCGGTCTCAGCCAACATCAGGGAGCTGACCCTTCAGAACGTGAGCACGCGTTGTTTCTGAGTCTCTGCTGATGCTCATTTGTGCATGAAAAATAATTGAGACATCAGATTTTTGATGATTGATGATTAACCCTAAACAAAATCATGTACTTGTTTCAATGTGTCAAATCTCTGACTATAACCATTAAAAATCAAGCCATCAGAATGTTTCCAAATCAAAGAGTGTGACTACGCCTGACAGCTGGGAATTTCCCACCTGGTTTTATCTTCCTCCTCCCCTCTGTCTGCCTCTGTCTCTCTCCCTCCCTTCCTCTCTCTTTCTCTCCACATACATTTACAGAAATAGTTATGCATCATAATTTTATATTTTACCCAAATGCATTGATACAATGTGACATTTTGAGTTGGGGAAACCCAATTGGGTTAAAAGTATAATTCCCCCAAACGTTATGAAGATTTAGAAAAAGGCGTAATTGAGCAAAAACATTACTTCTCAAATTTGTGCTGCAGTCCCCCAGAAAAGAAAAAACATTGTATCTTTCAGTGATGTGTTTGATAATAAAAGTCAGCAGGACATTTTAAAGATAAATGAAAAGAGATGGGGTGGGAGCAAAGACTCGATGATGTGGGAGTTGCCTGGAGTGGTGGGTGTCTGGATACGGACATGGAGCCGTGGCCACAGGCCTGGAAACTGTGGCAGGACTGGCCCTGCCTGGAGGGGGCCCTGGACTGACCTTACTGTCCTTGCTCCCTCCCAGCTGACTTGCCTTGTAATTGCACTTCGATCCCTGCTCTGTTCCGGCGTAGCCTGGAGGCTGCAGAGACTGGGTCCAGCTTGCAGACCGGCCAGGCACGGCCCACCCTGCAGCCCTGCAGAGGCACCCGCCCTGCCCCTGCCCTGCCTTTCCCTGCCCAGCACCCCACATCTCCTTTGCAACCTTGCTGCTTCCTGTGGCTGCTAAACAGAAGTTAACCTGTCACTGGGGAAAGCAGTAATGTGTGAGATTTCTCCTGTAAAGACCTCAGGGGCTTCCTTTCTGCAACCATAGAAGGAAGTACCAGGACCTTCCTAACATCGTAATTTTCAGACGCGACACTTTAAATTCCAAAGTTATCTGAACAAATAGAAAGGGAAGAAAGGATGGTGCTTGACTCATATTTGCAGAAATGCTTGTGACAAGGAGCGCCCTTCAGTTCTGTGTCATTTCACACATCACCCCTCATAAGCAGGGCAGAGAAGTCAGACACCCCAACACTTCAGAATGGAAATGTGGACTCCGAGCCACCTTGCGGCTGTGTGGCTGTGGGCTGTGTGGCTGTGGGCTGTGTGACTGTGGGCTGTGTGGCTGTGTGTGTGGCTGTGGGCTGTGTGGCTGTGGGCTGTGGGCTGTGTGACTGTGGGCTGTGTGGCTGTGTGGCTGTGGGCTGTGTGGCTGTGTGGCTGTGTGGCTGTGGGCTGTGTGGCTGTGTGGCTGTGGGCTGTGTGACTGTGGGCTGTGTGGCTGTGTGGCTGTGGGCTGTGTGTGTGGCTGTGTGGCTGTGTGTGTGGCTGTGTGGCTGTGGGCTGTGTGGCTGTGGGCTGTGTGGCTGTGTGACTGTGGGCTGTGTGGCTGTGTGACTGTGGGCTGTGTGGCTGTGTGACTGTGGGCTGTGTGGCTGTGTGGCTATGTGGCTGTGGGCTGTGTGGCTGTGTATGTGGCTGTGTGACTGTGGGCTGTGTGGCTGTGTATGTGGCTGTGTGACTGTGGGCTGTGTGACTGTGTGGCTGTGGGCTGTGTGGCTGTGTGTGTGGCTGTGGGCTGTGTGGCTGTGTGGCTGTGGACTGTGTGGCTGTGGGCTGTGTGGCTGTGTGTGTGGCTGTGTGGCTGTGGGCTGTGTGGCTGTGTGGCTGTGGGCTGTGTGGCTGTGTGTGTG